CGGGAAGCAGAACCTCAATGAATTGAGATGATGCTCGAGAATGGAGGGTTACATTGGTATTTATACACTGCAATCAAAGGAAAGAAACATAGGTGGGCTACATGAAATCCATGGGTGACAGACTAGAGAGGTGGGAGAAAGCAAAGCTGGGAAACCCCTGGGATTGGATAAAAAGTAAAATGATGGACACACACTTAAGCGGGTGCAGGAACAATTAACAGGATAATGAAGGAATGTGTGGCATCTGTCCTGGCGCCCACCACATTTGGTTGTGCCCCAGGGGCTCCAGAAAAATGGAAGTTACAAGTTACCCAGACACTTCAGGAATATGTTATTCTAGAGGCAAAAAGACAGACAGGCTCTGGTAAGCTAAAGGTTGACTTTGTCAATGAAGAAACCGGCCTAGGACGGAACTACCCACCATCACTGCATTTAATTCAAGTTTCATTTCAGACCATCCCTTGGTTACTTTAGGTCTGAGTTTGCAAGACCGCCATGCAGGCCTCCCCTGAGCTTGTCTGGTTAGCATGTGGCCCCTTTCATCCACAGACCCTTGGAACCTGGGACCTTTTAGTTTGCAGGCTGATGCTCTATCCACTGAGCCAAACCAGCTAGGGCTAAAATCACTCTTAAACTGGTACAAAAGTTTCTAACGGCTTACTTACTCTTGACCTCTGTACTTCTGTCTATGGACAACACCTAAGGCACTCTAAAGTCTTGGCATCCGTAGTGTGGACCTTGGCCTCCCAGAGACACCATGTGTAAACAGATTTCCTTTATACTCCCACAATAACAATAAATTAACCACAATAAATGAAATCTTTTGAAGGTGCTGCTGAGGCGGTGGGAAATGTGCCCCACCCATCTATGGCATCCCAAACTGGCTCCATATCCGGCACATGGCAGGGGCACGGGAACCATATGCCTGTCAGCCTGCCCTCCAGACTTCAGACTTGGCAGTCCTCACACCTGTGTGCAGCCATTCCTTAAAATAAATCTCTTGTTAGATGGATGGGTGGATGGGTGGGTGGATGGATGATGGATAGGTGGGTAGGTAGATAGGTAGATAGATAGATAGAGCTCTTATTAGTTCTGTTTCTTTGGTGAACACTGACTGATAAGTTTAGTATAATAAAGATTTGGAGACAAAAGAGCACTCCTCACAAAACCTCATTCATTGGGCTTCCTAATAGCATGGCTGCCTCTGCTTCTGATGCATCAGGGGAGGTACAACTGAAGAGTTAACCTTGAGCAAATGAGTAGAGAGCGCGCAGAGCAGCAGTGCAGGGGTAGCATATTTTAGCATTTATGTTAACAATGCTTTATAAGTCACAATTTATTTCTTCAAATGTAAAGCCTTATATTTCCATTGGCAGCGTGTGTGTGTGTGTGTGTGTGTGTGTGTGTGTGTGTGTGTGAGAGAGAGAGAGAGAGAGAGAGAGAGAGAGAGATGAAAACTCCAAATCTTTGCTACAATCTGATTATATCTTTTAAATATTCGTACCAATAACACTGCATTTAGAATTTGTATCTTTGGTTTTTATTGCATAAGGAGACCATGCAATAAAAAATATCACAAACATCTGTACCTACTAGGATTCAAGAGTTCAAAATATGAGTTTTAATATCCCCAAAGCATGTATCTTGGAAACCTGTGTTGGTGTGCAGGTGGTAGAGAATGGTTTGCCAGCTTGTCCTCTGTGACTCTAGTTCTTCCATCACACTTTAGGAGGAGTCTAAACACTCAAGAACCTTCCCTCCTTCTACAGCTATTCATACCTCACTTTCTGGATTTCTCTTCCACTTTTACCTACGTTCTCCCCAATTATTCTCTCCAATTTATCAATTCACAGTGCTTACAAGAAAAGAAAACTGTCAAAGAGACAGGAATATATTGAGGTTGGCTGGCCAAGCATTCTCTTCCTAGTAGGAAAACCCCACTAAAGTCAGCAGATTCTTTGGTAAATATGGAAGGACAGCAAAGAAAAACACAAAAGCCTTGAAGGATATCACCATTCATACTTGTGGCTTTAACCTCTCATAACTCCCCAATTCTCCTGGAATTCCTCCTCTCTCCCACAATTCTCCATTTTCTCTCACACGTTTTCTCATCATTTTCTGCTCTTTCACAATTCCCCAATTCCTATCACATTTTCTGTTCTTCCCCACAATTCCCTCAGCCCTCCACAATGCTCTGGTTCTCTAATAATTCCCACAATTCTTAATTATCTCCACCAACACCCCCTTATCTGCACAAATCTCTTCTTCCATAATACTCTCATCTTTCTCACAATTTGTTTTCTCACAATTCTCTCCCCTGCCCCTAATTCTCTCTCTCTCCAGGGCCAGTCACCTATTCCTTCCCGTGGGAGCCATAATAAAGGCTCTAGCCCGCAGTTCCCCCCTCTGCCTGGTGATGGGCCCAGTGCTTGCTTCCTTGTGCCTGTGGTGTCCTGTGCATCACGTGTACCCCTTTTCTTAGGATCTGTGTGTAGAACACGCCGTCTTCAATGGCAATCGTTTCCTGATCTGTTGGCCCTGCCAAGCCTACTTAATAATGAAACTTATTAAAAGGCTTATGCGTAGATGTGCTCTCCTGAACAGCTGTGAGTGATGGAAGGAGGACTGGGCAAAAGTACTGCGTTTGCACACTCGCCCCTGGAGGGGTCCGCAAGGAGGCTGGGCCCCAGTCCCTTACTGGCGGTTGGGTCCAGGGCCCCGCGATGCCGATGAGGCCCCAGAACGGGGTGAATATGATGACCGGGAGGGTGAAGGAGTGAGCCGTCATGGCAGAAGCTGGGACGGCCCTTCTGAGTTGTTCCCCTAGAGACCAGGGGCCCCAACTTATGAACCCTTGCATAGACCACTCAGAGGCTGCAATTGCCAGGGGTGGGAGGGGAAGGGACAGATTTGCTCTAGGAGGTTCTCTTAGGTTGAGGGCAAATCCTGGAGACAGCCTCAACCCATAGCTGTCAGCTACCACACTCCCAGCACCTAGGGCAATGGTGGGCAAACTCATTAGTCACCAGAGCCAAATATCCACAGTATTGAAATTTCTTTTGAGAGCCAAAATTTTTACTTAAACTTCTTGCAACGCCACTTCTTCAACATAGACTCGCCCAGGCCGTGGTATTTTGTGAAAGAGCCACACTCAACGGGGAAAAAGAGCCCATGTGGCTCGAGAGCCACTGTTTGCCGACCACGGACCTAGGGGCTGGACTGCCTGGCCCTCGCAGAGTACCTGGGTGTTCTGTGCACTCACAGGTCCAGTAGAGTGCTGCAGGGCGCCATGTGCTTCTGATTAACGCCTTAAAGGGCCGGGTGAAATTACCTTGATTGGAAAGCAGTTTTGAGACCCAAACAACCATCACGTGACATCATTTCTCTGTGATGGCTATCAGTGCCACGCCTAGCTAAAGCCACCGGGGTTGGTTGCCTGCATCCCTGCTGGGAAAGAAACACACTCAGTTTCTGGGAGAGGTAAGTGGCAATACAGACCTTGGAGTCCACACACCCAGGGCAGAGGGCTGGGGAGGGGGTGCTTGTTGGGTTCATCTTGGGGTCTCCAGGGCCGCCACCGCCCTGGACCCCTGCTGAGGCTCCTAGGGTCATCGCTCTAATTAAAGCTGCTGACAGACAACTGACCAAGATGGCCGTTTTAAAACGCGCTCCTGCAAAGCACCCCCTGGCCACTTCCAGCATCCGTCTGTCCTGGAAAGCCTTGCTCTAGGGAAGTTTCTGGCTCTGCTTCCCACCCGCGAGAAAGGTGCCAGGCCGGGGGGCGGGGCCAGAGTGCGGCGCGCGCGCTTATAGGCCGAGGCGGGCAGGGGCGGGGCCCGCTCCTTCTTGATTGACGGGAGCTCTTTCCAGCCGGCGCGTGGCCGCCCACATACCCGGAAGTCCCGCCTTCGGAACAGGAAATCGCGCCGGGCGCGAGCGCCTGCGGTGACCGAGGCGACAGCGGTGACCGGGTGAGGGGAGGCGGCCGCGGCCGGTCGGAGCCGCTCCGGGCCGGAGTTGGGAGCGAGAGGCGGGTGCGGCGTCCAGGGCAGCCCGGGCGGCAGTCAGGTGCGGAGCGGGGCTCACGGGGGCCGGCGGGCGTGGGGGCGGGGCTGGGGCGGGGGCAGGCGGGACGCGCCGGGGAGCTGCGGGGACGCTCGGGACCCCGTGAGGAAGACACAGCCCCGTGCCCTCTGCCGTCCTTTCCTTCCTTGGCTCCCTTTTCTGCGCCGTTATTTCCCCAGACCCACAGACGCTCGCTAAACCCCGGGCCGGGTCTCGTCTGCCCTGAGTAAACCTCCCCTCCCCCCCAATCACACCAGTAAACCTCCCCTCTCCCACCCCATTTCTACCAGTAAACCTCCCCTCCCCCCAATCACACCAGTAAACCTCCCCTCCCCCCCAATCACACCAGTAAACCTCCCCTCTCCCACCCCATTTCTACCAGTAAACCTCCCCTCCTCCCAATCACCAGTAAACCTCCCCTCCTCCCAATCACACCAGTAAACCTCCCCTCCCCCACTCAATCACCAGTAAACCTCCCTCTCCCACCCCATTACTACCAGTAAACCTCCCCTCTTCCACTCAGTCACCAGTAAACCTCCCCTCTCCCACCCCATTACTACCAGTAAACCTCCCCCTCCCACCCCATTACTACCAGTAAACCTCCCCTCTCCCACCCCATTACTACCAGTAAACCTCCGGTCTCCTGTCCATCACCGGCCAAGGACCCTCCACCTCGGCCTAACCTCCTGGCTGTGACATGGTTTCTCAGGCACCTCCTCACCCCCCCCCCATCCGTCCACCGTTAGAAACTGGTGTACATATCACAACTAGCACTGCCCAGAGCGGGGACTATATTAAAGCTGTTGCTGGAAGGGGTACCCTGCCCCGCAGATGTCGGGAAGGATGGCGAGTGGTTGGCCCCCAGACGTCAGCACTAATCCCTCTGCTTTGGCGCGTGAATTAGGATTGTTCGGATTCGGCACTGCGGTTCCGCCATGGGCTTGTCTTCATCCACTCCTGCTGTGGCACTTCAGACCACAAACGCTTCCGCTCCCCAGGCTGCATCCCCGCCTTCAGGATGTCCGATGCACGAAGGGAAAATGAAAGGTAATGGATCCTTGGTCTAGAAAATAACCAAAGGGGATCCTCAAAAGGAGGGCCCTTATGTTGCTGCTTACAAGTCACGTGACTGTAGACAAGGTGCTTCTCAACGCAGCATCTGTCAGATGAAGCTGTAATATGCTTCACAGGGTTAGGATGACAATAAGTTGAGATAATGAATGACAGTGTAGTGTCCATGCCACACATCAGCCCCAATACACCCAAAGTTTGTGTGTGTCTGTGTCTGTGGTTCTCAACTTGGGTGGGCGGTGACTCCCTCTCACCTCAGCGGACATTTGGCCACGTCTGGAGGCATTTTTGCCTGTCACAGCTGTGAGGGGAGGTACGTACATCTAGTGAGGAGAAGCCAGGAGTTCCGCTCAACAACCTACAGTGCACAGGACAGCTCTTCAACAAAGACTCACCTGGCCCCAAATCTCAACAGGGCTGTGCCTGAGGAACCTTGGTCTAGATCTAGCTGTCTTAGCCCGGCCGGTGTGGCTCAGTGGTTGACTGTCAACCTAAGAACCAGGAGGTCACCTATTGATTCCCAGTCAGGGCACATGCCCCGGTTCGAGCTCAATCCCCAGAGTGGGGTGTGCGGGAGGCAACCTATTAATGATTCTCTCCCATCATTGATGTCTCTCCCTCTCCCTCTTTCTTTCTCCCTTTCCCTTCATCTCTGAAATCAATAAAAAATGTATTTTAAAGAAAGACAACTTCACTCCTGCATCCCATAAGTCGCCACCTGATGGCTTGTTCATTCTTCAGGTGCAAACGAAGCAGCTTTCATTGTTATCTGACGCGCATCCCCTGCTTTAGGTCGTTTGTATAAAGCAGGGCCTGGACCGGCCTGAGGGGCGCCTTCCTGCTTGAGACATGAGGGGAAGAGCCGGCAGGTGCGCTTACCGAGTGCTCACGTTCCATTCCCCTGGTCGGTCAGCAAGGATTCCCTCGCTGCCCACTCCGTGCCCAGCGCTGGCAGGTTTCACTCACTTGTTCTTGCACTGCAGAACCCCTTTGCTTGATGGAGTTGACATCCTCATCCTCATAGTCCCGCGTGGTGGGTTTTCTCCCTTTTTTATTTATTCATTATAAAACATATCTTTATTGATTTCAGAGAGGAAGAGATGGGGAGAGAGAGAGAGAAACATCAAAGATGAGAGAGAATCATGGATCGGCTGCCTCATGCACGCCCCCAACTGGGGATCAAGCCCACAAAATGCACATGTGCCCTTCATGGGAATCAAACCTGGGACCCTCCAGCCCACAGGCCCTCTCTCTGAGCCACACCGGCGAGGGCTGGGGATAGTAAACTCCGAGAATCCTGTCCTGGCCTTTAAGATATGGGGAAGCTAGCTAGCTTAGCCGAGGCAGCTTTCAGCAACCGTCATTTAGCTCTCTGTGGTCCTCGCTGGTCTTTAGGGCCCAGCCTGGAGAGCGGGCGCCCTGCCTCTGTGGTGACGCCGTTTTTATCCTTGGTTTCAGGTTGTCCGGTGAGTGAAAAGCCATCTGACGCAGCCTGCGAGAGCAAAACCAGCTCTGGGCCTGCCCACCAAGACCGCGCCTACGAGTACGTGGAGTGCCCTGTTACAGGCGCTGCTGTGGAAAGGCAGAAGCTGGATCCTTCTAATCTGGTAAGCCCGCACTCGGCTCCTTCCTCGTGGGACTTTTTAAAAATGTATTTTTATTGATTTCAGAGAGGAGAGGACAGGGGAGAGAGAGAGAGAGAGAGAGAGAGAGACATCAATGATGAGAGAATAGTGGGTTGGCTGCCTGTGGCACGCCCCCTACTGGGGATTGAACCTGCCATGTGGACACGTGTCCCAACCGGGAATCGAACCGTGACCTCCTGGTTCATTGGTCAATGCTCAACCACTGAGCCACTCCAGTCAGGCCTTTTCCTTTCTCTTTTTTTCCACCTTTGACTTTAAACACGCTGTGCTGCCAACAAGTATGGGGCCCGGTGTGGTGCCAGCCCGCCCAGCTCTTCCGCCATCTTTCTAACCGGGGGCTGTGTCGTGCCTTAATAATTCTGTGCACCTGCTAGAAAATCCTTCCCGCTTCCACTACAAAACGTTCTCAGCCGGTGGTTCTCAACCTGGGGTGCCTCAGGGGACACTGGTGGTCACGTCTGGGGAAGAGGGGTGCTATGGCCCAGGCTCGGTGCTCGCTGCGGTGTGGCTGCCGCTGTGCGCTGTGTCCGGGAAGAAGCCCCCTTCGCCTCCCTCCACTCGGCCAGTGCGGGGACGTCACCACTCAGCCGTAGTGTCCTCACCCGGAAGGCTGAAAGCATAAGCAAGATCCTGAAAGTCTAATTCTCTACCAGGAAGTGGTGCTGTACATATGTCCTATCAGGCTTCCTCAGAAGAATGAGCAGTCATTTGGTTAAGCCCGCCATACAGAAAGGTTTCCTGAAATGCCTACTGATCATGGTATTTGTTGTTACCTTTTTTTTTTCTTCTTCATTAATCCTCACATGAGGATTTTTTACCCCATTACTTTTCAGAGAGGGAGGGCGTGGAGGAGGGGCGGTTAGCATTGAATCTGAAAGGAAGGTACATGCTGTTGACCGGGAATCAAACCCGTGACCCTTCAGTGCCTAGGCCAGTGCTCTAACCACTGAGCACACTGACCAGGGCAGTTTTTACTTCTTTTTTTTAAATATCTTTTACTGATTTATTTTTATTTATTTATTTTTTTTACAGAGAGGAAGGGAGAGGGATAGTTAGAAACATCGATGAGAGAGAAACATTGACCAGCTGCCTCCTGCACACTCCCTACTGGGGATGTGCCTGAAATCAAGGTACATGCCCTTGACCGGAATCGAACCTTTCAGTCCGCAGGCTGGTGCTCTATTCACTGAGCCACACTGTCCAGGGCAGTTTTTACTTCTTAATCCTCGAGGAGAAAAAGACCAAGAATATACCCATGAGGGGTGTTTGCCGTTTATGAGAACTTGAACAAGGGAAAGAGTCTGACACGGCTGAAACGCTGCTGCCAGTGTCTGACAGAACCTGTGTCGCATGTGCGGGGCGTGGCTTTCCAGGAGGTGGCTCACACCGTGCTGTTTCTACTCTGTCCTGTGTCCAGCTCTGACAACAGGCTCTGCTTGTTTTCTTCAGATGCCGCCGCCTAACCAGACTCCGGCCCCCGACCAGCCCTTTGCGCTCTCCACTGTGCGGGAGGAGTCCTCCATCCCGAGAGCAGATTCGGAGAAGAAGTGGGTCTACCCCTCCGAGCAGATGTTCTGGAACGCGATGCTCAAGAAAGGGTAAGAAGGGAGCCTCGTCCCGAGAACAGACGTGCGCTTGTTACGTTTATCTGAGAATAAATGCCAGGGAGGTTTTTGAGCCTCCAAACGTACAGTGCGTTTTTCTTGCACGAGATAACTCGTGGAGACTCGTGTGCAGGCTTATCAGAAGATAGCGCCCGGCCCACGCGCCAGCCGGGAGCCTCCGGGGAAGCAGACAGGGCGGGTGCGTCCAGAGAGAGAGCAGCAGGAGGCTGGTGCGATCTTGCCCACCCTCTTCCCCAGGTGGAAATGGAAGGAGGACGACATCACCCAGAAGGACATGTACAACATCATCAGGATTCACAACCAGAACAACGAGCAGGCGTGGAAGGAGATTTTGAAGTGGGAAGCCCTCCATGCTGCGTAAGTAGGTTTGACATCTTCAAAAGCCCGTCCAGCCCTGGCCGGTGTGGCTCAGTGGATAGAGCGTCGGCCTGGGGACCGAAGGGTCCCGGGTTCGATTCTGGTCAAGGGCACGTTCGTTCCTCAGTTGCAGGAGGAAAGGAATCGGTGTTTGTCTTTCCCTTTCTCTTCCACTCCTCCCTCAAAATCCATGGAAAAACACCCTTGGGTGAGGATTAACTACAACAACAAACCCTTCCAGCTTCTTTCTTATTTGGGGCCCAGGGCTCTAACATTCCTTCAGTCGTGTCATGGCAATGACATAGTTTGGGGAGCAGCCTGTGCTCGTGCCAGGCCCCCCATGTGACCGTGTAAACCCATGGATTTGACTGGTCCGAGTGCCGAAGGGGAGGAGGAGGGACAGCTGGTCCCCGGGATTTGGGCCTCACCTGCCGTCACTCAGCGGGCAGGGCTGGCTGGACAGTCTGGGCTGGAATCTCTGGATTCCATTTCCTTCTCTGGGGAGCGGCCACGACTCCTGCCCACGGCCTCTGGACGTGGCCCCTTTGGCTTCCTCACGCTGGAGGCTGGGTGCCCAGAGCTGGATTTCAGAGCTGCATCTGCTTTGATGACCTAGCCTCGGAAGCCCAGGACCGTCACCTGCCTGCCCAGGTTTGGGGGGCGGGTCAGAGAACCCCACCTCTCGACGGGAGGAGTGTCAGGCCATGGAAAGCAGAGCATGTGGGACACGGTCACTATTTGCTCTCTGCCCCTAGGAGATGCTCACTCAGCAGCGCTTCCTGAGTCCCCAGCCGGCCCGATGCCTCACATGTCTCAGAGCGCAGGCCTTCTGGTGGAGAAGGCTGGCCGGGAGCGCAGCCAGGGCAGGGCTCGGACGGTCTTGGGTGACGCTGCCCCCCGACTCCCTGCGCCCGGGAGCAGGCCGGCTGGCACCAGGGAATCCCCACCAGGGCTGTGCGGAGAGTGGGCGGGTTTTCTAGCCAGGCCCTCGCCACCATCCTGTGTGCGGTTGCTTCCTAAGGAGCTGATCCGGCACCAGTTACATAAATCCTAGGGGTTTAGCCAGCATTTTCCTTCTTCATGGAGGCCACCCATTGGTATCTAACCCACTGGTTATGTCATCTGCAAAGACACCCCAGCTGCTCTATGGAAAGAGAAGCGTGATGCCCAGTCCTCCACCCTCCTTTGTCCCCCGAGAACATGCCCTGTCCCCACTCCAATGAAAAGGCTCTGGCCCCGGGCTCCTGGGGCAGACATTGGGGAGGAAGTGGAGGGAGGGGAACCCACTGGATCCAGGAAGAGAGTGGTTTTTTTAAGGAAGGGGGATATTGCTTTGCATTTGGCAGTGACCTTTCTGTGTGATGTGACACTGTAAAATGCGTTCAGAAAACTGTATGCCATCGAGGAAATGCAACCTGGTATTTTCCAAGGGAAAGATCTTTCCATAGACTTGTCTTCTTTGGGGCTTTCTAGGGAGTGTCCCTGTGGTCCCTCACTGGTCCGCTTCGGAGGGAAAGCCAAAGAGTACTCGCCACGCGCAAGAATCCGCTCCTGGATGGGGTGAGTGTGGGCGGAAGTAACCGTCACTCCCGTACTCCCGTGTGAGGGACCCTTCCCCATGGCACCGAAACCAGTCGCTCAGAGAACTGTGGGGCCATCTTCCAAGATGTAGTCCATGGGCCTCTGTAGGCGTCATCCTGTCCCGGAAGTGAGCCGGGTGGGGCGGGTTCGCTTGGGTTGCTCCCCATCTCACTGTCGGAGGATTGGCCCAGCTGTCCTCCGACTCCTCCTTGGATCTCTGCGCTTGGCCTTCTCCCTCCTCTCCCAGCGTAGCCAGAGAACCAGCCCCTCGCCCTGCCGGCTCTCTGTCCTGGGGGCCTTAGCCAGGGTGGCCACACTGGCTGGCGTGTGAGCTGGGCCAGTCGCACATCCTCAGCGCCACCTTAGCTGGGCACCATGGGCTGTGATGGGTCTCTGTCCCCAGTGGGAGGTCTGCCTGAGAGCAGGCCTTCCCCACCGCCCTCTGCCTCGCTCACTGCTCCCCCTAGCCCAGGCCCTTCGTTGACACTCACCAGCAGCTCTTCGTTGCAGGTATGAGTTGCCTTTCGACAGGCATGACTGGATCATCAACCGCTGTGGGACGGAAGTCAGATACATCATCGACTACTACGACGGCGGCGAGGTCAACCAGGAGTACCAGTTCACCATCCTGGACGTGCGGCCCGCCTTCGACTCACTGTCGGCAGTGTGGGACAGGATGAAGGTGGCCTGGTGGCGCTGGACCTCATAGCCGGTGCTCTGTTAGACAGGGAAATCCCACTATTCTTTTCTTTTTTTTGGAAGGCTGCATTAAACTATTTTCCCTAAACTCAATGGCACTCGTGATGTCCTGGGAAGGTGGAGGGGGTCGTGACCTTAAACTTCGCTTGACGAAGGGTAGTGTGCTCACGCTTTTCTGAGCTGTTCTCACCCCAGCGCTGGTTGCAGATAGTGGACGTTTCCTTCCCACTCAGGGTAAGTGGGAAGCAATCTCTCCGTCTTCCCTTTCACTCAGTACTGCCTGTGTGTGTGATCTAGAAAGGTCTGAGCCACCTCGTGAAAAGCACTTCCCTTAAAATATGAAGAGAGTCGCTTCTTTTCCTACTGTCTTCTGACTACTTGGGCCCTGAAAACCCATAGGATGCACGGGAGCTCTTACCTGGTCACTGTCTCAAAAGCTGTTGGGTCATGCTTTTTAAAGAGTCACCAGTGATTCTCAAGGCCCTACAATATGGCCGTGACTCCGGAGGAAAACGCAGAGGTTGACTCCGGAAGTGCACTCAGCAAAACTAGTGTCTTGGCTCCCCACGCTCTCATGAGCATGGTTCAGACATGGCCTCATTACAGACACGTTTCAGCACCACTGTGGTGTGAGGGCGCCCACACGGGAATGTGTGTTTCAGCCTTTACGTTTTCCTCCATCTGCACTGTTCTGCTATGGAGCTGCTCCCACAGGCAGGGCTCCCTGGCCCTGCTTTTGACATTTTGACAAGTTTTCCCACTCCTGCACCCCGTTCCTTCCCTGCAGTATCTGAGCCTTGAAGGTCTGGCTGGAGGTGCAGTTAGCGATGATTCCTTTCTAAACACGGTCGTGTTTTGTTGAGTGTTCAGTGAGCTCTACCGTTGACGTTCTTGGTTCCAGTAATCCGCATACTGGTGGTTCCTCTTAGAGCAACATATGCTGCCAATGACTGTTAGGTTTGGTTTGGTTTCGAGTTGATAATAGGAAGTCCTTGCATTTCTCCTCAATACTGGATTGTTCAATTAGTAGAAGGAATTAGCAGATTGGAGTGATTCATTTGTCGTGAATGTCCGTGGTAACAGCTTTGGGTGGGGTTTTTTAAACCTAACAACCTTAAGCTCTTTGACATTTCAGAATATTTGTATATTTTAAAATCAAATGAAGCTCATACTGAACAGGTTTCCAAATTTCTTAAGAGTACACGTAACAATCACGTCTTATCTATATGGAAACGATGCTGCATTCATCCTGCGAGAGGCAGCCACCTTCTCCTCTGCTCATGGCATCCTCACAGGCACACCTCTGAGGTCCTGCGGGCATGGTTTCCCCCCCACTGCAATACCCCAGTATCACAGAGCCATAGGGAGAGGGTCTTGCTTTCAATTTGTAAAAAGTGCAACACCTGTGGAGCGCAATAAAGCACATGGCGATAAGACGAGGCACGCCTGTACTAAGGAGAATTACTGTTGGCATTTTTACAAGTATAGGATAAGGCATTAGGAACAAATGGTAACTAGAAACAAAGGAGTCTTAGGCAGGCACCCCTTTTATAGGGCCACTGCATTTCTTGAGAAAAACCTAAACCGCCAAGCAAACCTGATAGATCAGCAGTTACACCCCCACCGCTCCTGGGAAAGACCAGCCTGCCAGCTTTCACAGTTGCTGTGTCTAGATTACACGTGAGCATCTTCAGGGATCGATACTTCTCCGATCCCATAGGACTATGGAAGCAAACTTGGCTCTTTGGCCCCTTGAGTGTGGCTCTTCCACAAAATACCACAGCCTGGGTGAGTCTATTTTGAAAAGAAGTTTAAAAATTTTGGCTCTCTAAAGAAATTTCGTATTATTGATATTTGGCTCTGTGGGCTCATGAGTTTGCCAACCACTGCCATTGGAGGTTTCATTTATAACTTGAAATTCATTTTGGATATTCTCCAGGGCTGAAACAGCCTGTTGTCTATGGAAACAGCACTATTTGGAATCATCAAACTAGTGTACGTTGGGCAAAGTATTAACAAATGGTGAGGGGGGATTGAACTGGATTTGTATATAGGTGTCCCCCCCAAATGTATACACTTAATAATACTAGTACAGGCAGTGTTTACTAACATACATTTCATTTTCAAAACAGCTATTAAAAAAAAAAAAAAAAAAACGGCTACCAGCTGTTACAGTGCGTATACATTTTCTGGATACCCTGTATTAATATGGGGCATTCCTAGTCATACCTTCCTAAAATCCACTCATGAATGGTCATGTTCCCTGCATCATCAAGAGCATGCAAAAGGCAACAGGTGCCCCTGCCTCAGTTGTAGTTCAGTCAGTAATGAGAGGGTGGGTAAGTGCTAGGATTCCCCCAGCCTCATGGTTACCCAGGGTGGGAAGTTCTTGTATTTCTGATATACAGCTACCAGGTTCTGAACTGTCACCAACATGTTGGGTCTCTACCAGAGTAACTTCCCTCACTGGAGTGAAAATATGCACATTGCATGCCTCACCTCTACAGTGACTGAGCGACTTGTACGAAGGGTCATTTGTGTCTCCCTAGGCTGAAAGCCCTGGGTGGTGATGAAGAATGCTATCCTTGCCGAAACCGGTGTGGCTCAGTGGATAGAGCGTCGGTCTGCAGACTGAAAGGTCCCAGGTTCAATTCCGGTCAAGGCATGTACATTGGTTGCAGGCACATCCCCAGTGGGGGGTGTGCAGGAGGCAGCTGGTTGATGTTTCTAGCTCTCTATCCCTCTCCCTTTCTCTCTGTAAAAAATCAATAAAATATATTAATTAAAAAAAAAAGAATGCTATCCTCACCCTAGCTGGTTTGGTTCAGTGGATAGTGTGTCAGCCTGCAGACTGAAGGGTCCCGGTTCAATTCTGGTCAAGGGCACATACCTCGGTTGCAGGCTCAATCCCCAGTCCTGGCCGGAGCTTCTGCAAGAGGCAGCCACTCAATGTCAATGAATCTCTCACATTGATGTTTCTCTCTCTCTCTGTCTCTCCTCCTCCCTTCCTCTCTCTCTAAAAATCAATGGAAAAATATCCGGGGGTTAGGATTAGGGAAAAAAAAAAAAAAAGAATGTCCTTGAAAAGATGCCTGCACCCCAGTTTTGTTGTAGCATTAGTCACAATAGCCAAGATATGGAAGCAACCTGTGTGCCCACTGATAGATGAATGGATAGAGAAAATGTGGTATATATATATATATATATATATCTCCCCGGTACACACAATGGAATATTATTGACTATTAAAAAGTTACCATTTGCAACAACATGGATGGACCTTGAAGGCATTATGCTAATTGAATAAGTCTGAAAAAAGACATACCAAATGATCGAACTTCTATGTGGAATCTTAAAAAAAAACCTCCCCAAACCGAGCTTATAGATATAGAGAAGATTGATCGTTGCCAGAAGTGGACGGTAGAGGGCGAGGGGGAATTTGTGAAGAGGGTCAAAAGTGCAAATCTCTAGTTAAAAGGCAAATATGTGAAGGGAGTATAACACACAGCAGGGTGATTACAGTTGAAAACACTTGCGCATTTGGAAGTTGCTAAGAGTAGATCTTAAGAGCTTTCACACACAAAAAAATTTGTAACAACTTGTGATCATTTCACAATATATACAGATATCGAACATTACATGTTTCACCTGAAACTAATATACCGTCAATTATACCTCAATGGGCCTCAGCCTTCTCGGCTGTAACAAGAGTAATACAACAGAGTGTTTTAGTCCGTTTGGGCTGCTACGACAAAATACCATCAACCCGGTAGCTTATAAACAACAGAAAGGTAATCTCACGGTTCTGGAGCCTGGCAAGTCCAAGATCAAGGCGCTGGCAGAGCTAGTGACTTGTAAGGAGGCCAGCTTCCAGGTCTGCAGCCAGTGGCCCTCCCGCTCCTCTCCCGATGGAAGGGGGAGGGACTCTAAGGGCCTATTTTATAGGCGCACCAATCCCATCATGAGGCTCCGCCCACGGCCAATTCACCTCCCAAAGGCCCCGCCTCCTAATACCATCACATTGTTGGGGAAGGTTTCAACAGGAATTTGGCTGGGAGACAAGACATTCAGACCATAGCACTGACCTACCACAGTTGTTTGTTTATATTTGTATTGTTGATTTCAGAGAGGAAGGGGGTGGGGGAGAGAGAAACATCAATAATGAGAGAGAAACACTGATCGGCTGCCTCCTGCACACCCCACACTGGGGATCAAGCCCACAACCCCCAGCATGTGCCCTGATGGGAATTGAACCCCAAACCTTTCAGTCCACAGGCTGATGCTCCATCCACTGAACCACATCAGCTAGGGCTGGAGTGACCATTTCTTAACTGAGGAGCCTGAAAGGCAGACCTGGATTTGTCTTCTCTGTACTTGTAACTCCAGAGCCCAGCACTGGAACCCCTGGTAAATGTTGGTTAGATGGTTGAGTGGATGGATCCACAACTGATCCCTCTGTCTAGGGCAGTGGTCTGCAAACTGCGGCTCTTTGGCCCCTTGAGTGTGGCTCTTCCAAAAAATACCACGTGCGGGCATGCACAGACAGTGCGATTGAAACTTCGTGGCCCATGCGCAGAAGTCAGTTTTCTGCTCTCAAAAGAAATTTCAATCATTGTACTGTTGATATTTGGCTCTGTTGACTAATGAGTTTGCCGACCACTGGTCTAGGGAAGTTAGTGGTGGCTGTTGTAGCTGGTTGAAATAAAGGAAAACCTGAAGACCACGCTAGACTATGATTAAGTGCAATTAATGCTAATGGATAGATATGTAAATGGTACAATTATTTATTATAACTCAGCTAGGAAAGTTCCATTGCTAAATCACACCCATTTCTCACCCCATAGCTCTGCTAGCCCAAACTCCCCGGAAATCAGACTTACTCTGGGCCTTTCTTGCTTTCAGCTTCTGTTCCTCTCTCTCAGTGGGGAGACAGGCTCCTAGGCTTTGCTTATTCTGCTCCGAATTGTCCGGATGACAGGCTGGCACATTGGATGGCTGCTGCCAAATCCT